CCAGTGCCTCACCACCCTCTCCGGGAAGAATTTCTGCCTGATATCTAATCTAAACCTCCCTGATTTCAATTTGTACCCATTACCCCTTGTCCTGTCACTACAGGCCCTTGTAAAAAGTCTTCTTGTAAGAAGCATACCAAGTCAGTCAAACACGACTTCCCCTTGGTGAATCCATGCTGACTACCCGTGATGGCCTTCTTGTCCTTCATAAGCCTGGAAATGGTTCCCAGGATTATTTTCTCCATCACGTTTCCAGGGATGGAGGTGAGGCTGACCAGCCTGCACCTCCCTGGGTCCTCATTTTGAAGATGAGACCAACGTTTGCTTCCCTCCAGGCCTCAGGCACCTCTCCTGGTTACCATGACCATCAGTTCAAGGACGACCCAGAGTAACCTCGGGACTCACGGATGCATCCCATCAGGGCCCATGGATTTACGTACAGCCTCTTCGCTTAAACGTTCCCTGACCTGCTCCTCTGCCACCAAGGCTTCTCACTCCTTGTTCCAGACTTTCCCCCTGACCTCTAGGGCCCATCTTTTTATCTTTGACGTTCCTCACCAGATTCAATTCCAGCCAGGCTGCTTTTCCTGACTGCATCTCTGCATGCCTGGACACCGACTCTGTATTCCTCCCAGGTTACCTGTCCCTGCTTCTACCTTCCATACGCCTACTTTTTGTGTTTTGCCAGGAGCTGCTTGCTCATACATCCAGGCCTCCTGCCACTTTAGCCTGACTTCCTGCCCATTTGGATCCACTGCACCTGAGGTGGGAGGAGGTTGATCCTTGAACATCATATTATCACAGAATGGTTTGGGTTGGAAGGGACCTTAAAAGCTCATCCAGTTCCAACCCCCCTGCCAGGGGCAGGGACACCTTCCACTAGACCAGGTTGCTCCAAGCCTCATCCAGCCTGGCCTTGAACACTTCCAGGGATGGGGCATCCACAGCTTCTCTGGGCAACCTGTGCCAGTGCCTCACCACCCTCTGCATGAAGAACTTCTTCCTGATATCCAATCTAACCCTCCCTGCTGAATATTACCCAGCTTTCTTGGGCCCCTCTTCCTTCCAGGGCCTTATTCCATGGGACTCTACCAAGAGTATCACTGAAGAGGCCAGTCTGTTCTCCTGAAGTCCAGTGATGTGACACTGCTTTCTGTCCTGCTTCCTCCTCTCAGGATCCACCATCTCACAGCCCTGGCAGCCAGGCCTGTCAGTCTGACCTCCGTGGCAGGGAAGGTTAGGGAGCACATCACCTGGAGTGCCATCGGGCAGGACACACAGGACACCCAGGAGATCAGGCCCATAACAAGGTAACCCGCTTAGTGGACAAGGGCAAGGCTGTGGATGTTGACTACCCTGACCTTAGTAAAGCCTTTGACACCATTTTCCACAGCATTCTCCTGGAGAAACTGGCTGCCCACAGGTCTGACAGACACACTCTCTGCCAGGTTAAAAAACTGGCTGGACGGCTGGGTCCAAAGAGTTGTGCTGAATGGGGTTAAATCCAGTTGGCCGCTGGTCACAAGTGGTGTTCCCCGGGGCTCAGTGTTGGGGCTGGTTATCTTGAATATCTTTATCAATGATTTGGGTGAGAGGACCAAGCACACCCTCAGTGAGGGCTGATAACACCAACTTGGGCAGGAATGTTGAGGACAGGAAGGGTTTGCAGAGGGATCTGGACAGGCTGGATGGATGGACTGAGGCCACCTGTGTGAGGTTCAACAAGGCCAAGTGCAGGACCCAGCACCTGGGTCACAACAACCTCCTGCAATGCTGCAGGTAACACTACAGGCTTGGGGACAAGTGACTGGAAAGCTGCCCGGCAGAAAAGGACCTGGGGGTGTCAGTCAACAGATGGCTGACTATGAGCCAGCTGTGTGCCCAGGTGGCCAAGAAGGCCAACAGCATCCTGGCCTGCATCAGGAATACCGTGGTCAGCAGGAGTAGGGCAGTGACTGTACTCCTGTACCGAGCACTGGTGAGGCCCCAGCTCAAATCCTGTGTTCAGTTTTAGGCCCCTCACTACAAGAAGGACACTGAGATGTTGGACCATGTCCAGAGAAGGGAACGGAGCTGTGGAAGGGTCTAGAGTATAAGTCCAAGCAGCTGAGGGAACTGAGGTTGTTAATCTGGAGGAGGCTCAGGGGGAGGCCTTATCACTACCTACAACTACCTGAAAGGAGGTTGCAGCAGGGTGGCTGTTGGTCTCCCAGGTGATGGGAAAAGAAGAAATGGCCTCAAGTTGTGCCAGGAGAGATTTAGATTGGGTATTAGGAAAAAATTTATTCACTGAAAGGACTGTCAGGCACTGGAATGAGCTGCCCAGGGAGCTGGTTGGGTCGCCATCTGTGGAGGTATTTAAGAGACAGTGGATGAGGTGCTTAAGGACATGGTTTAGTGGCTGTATTAGCAGGGCTAAGTTTATGGTTGGACTTGGTGATCTTAAAGGTCTTTTCCAACCCAAAAGATCCTATGATTCTATGAAAAGCAATTCTCTTCCATACCACTTTTGCTACTTCATCGACATCTAGCTGAACAGCAGCCAACTCAAAACGTTGTCCCAACTCTGATACACCTTCTCAGTGGGCTTATTTAGCAGAATTTATTTGGTAAGAACCCTTCAAAACCCTGAACAACCAACCATCATCACTCAGATTTCAACTTCTAGGATCAGTTTCAGCTGAAAACCTAATCACTTTAAACATTCCATTAGCTCACAGAATATCTCAGGTTGGAAGGGACTTGTAAGGATCAAGTCCAACACCCTGCTCCTCGCAGGACTGCCTAAAGCTAAATCATATGACTAAAAGCATCATCCAGACGCTCCCTAAACTCTGAACAACACTCTTAGCGATTCCAGTTAAAATACTGACAGAGGGTAAAGTCAGGGCTTGCTTAAGTATTGCCTTAGGAAATGGCACCGCAGCGTAACAGACAGGGAAAGTGTTCCCGTTGCTTCTCGCTTTCCCAGTGCGGTGAACTAAGACAACTGCTGGTGAAATTAAAAAGCACATTAGCTTCCTATGGTACTCCCTACTCGCAATCCTCTGGAAAATGGTTTAAGGCAAGACATTGCCTGATAACGGGGCTGAGCTAGAAACCACCTAACTGACATCACCAGGATTCAAATTACTCTTTTTCTAGAGGACTTAATCCAAGTCATTACGCAAACATTATCAGTACAACTCAGCGTTGCAAGGTACAACACAAGTGACCAGAACTATTCTGATCCCTATTTTAAACTGGCTTCAGTATGAAAGATGTCATCTCAGAACTATAAGATTATTTTTTTTACATATAAATATATATGTGTGGTTTGTACTAACAGCTAATAATAGAAAATGCTGTAGGAAGAAGTCTTAACCTAGGCAGCAAAGGTACTGTCTTTCTGTCTGAAGCACTAACACAGAAGGCAAGTTGGCTACATTTTTTTTCCATATTTATTTACAAACAGGATATATACACACCAATGCCTTCATTTTTCAACATCAGGAAAAGCTGGACACGGAGTAACAGCGAAACTTCTTTGCACAAGAAATCTTTATACTGAAAGGTATTTTCAAGGAAAGATGTCACTCAAACAGCAAGCCTTCCTCAGAGGGGAGCAAGCAAAGGCTTTCTTCGTTCAGCCTGCCACCCTTGGGCTGGTTCCCCAGGACACTGAGCTGACCCCCAAAAGCTTCACGTTTGGCCAGGGCGGCGGGACCCTGGCACTGAAGAGTATTTCTACAGAGTTCAAAGTATATAATGCCTGAAAGATTTTTAGACAGTGCAAAGCGTTTTGGTGGCCCAGCATAGTGCTGCCACTGTACTGTTTTCTCCTGAAGAGAACACTCAAGGTACAGAAAGCGGCAAACAGTAAACCTGACTAAGCAAGTGGCTGAACCACATTTTGATGGAAACTACAAATCACCTTCTGCTGTTCTCCTAACTGGAAGAGCCAAGTAATGTTTAAGGTGTATTTAGACCGACCAGATGCTGCAAGAGGAAGCACTTAGTAACTTTATTCCCACGGAAAGCTGAAAACGAAACCTTGTTACCACGTGCCTATCAAATTAGAAGCAATCTGCTCTCAGAGCTTAAACACTTCCAGGTATGAAAAGCATCACCCCCGAAGTTCGCAGCACTAGGAGCATTTCAACTTGAGCAAAAAGGACATCTGTCAAGCAAACACACATGTGAAACATACACACTCTGTAACCTAGAAAACCAATTAAAAAGTTGAATAGCTCACAGAGTCCAGGGAAAATTCACCAGTACAGGTTTTAACCCGTCCCCTCCTGACTGCACACTGAAGCAGTACGCTGCACAGAGAAGCACGCGAGCCAAGATGATTAATTGTACCCAAACATGGTAGGATATGGAAAAGAAACGGTGGACGTCATTTTTAACAACTCTTTGTATTTTTCACACAAATGGTGCTGCAGGACTGTCTTCTAATTAGAGTGCTGTCTGCCGGGTCCAAGTCCACCAAGAAAAGGCAAACCTACAACTAGGAACGGCGATCCTGCAGCATCAGAGCTGGGAGTTTAAAGAGCCACTGATATGGTCCCAAAGAAGTGATGCATGGCTTTCCCTGAGTTCAGAACACCGACTAAGCTTAAGACACCAATGTAATTTCCAGAGGCTAGGGAGCTTTTATCCCATGGCAATAACTTCAGTTACATTATTTTACTCAGCAGACAGTGTCCTCTGTAAAAGGAAAACTCTGTTTTCATGCGAATCAACCACAGGCTGCGAGGAAAACCCAGGAAGACTCACCTGAAATACTTATCTAGTTCATTTCTGGTAAATGCAGGCAGATAACAGTGAGATACACACAAACTCCAGAGGCAGCTGCACTTGTGTTCATGTTTCAAGCACAATACTGTTCCCAGCAGGCATGTAGCTCATTTGAGAGCTGCTGCAGTGGCCTCTGTTGGGCGACACTTTTCGTTTAGGGATTGACATTTTAACTTCTATTAAGAATTTTTGGGGGTGTTTGTGTGTACCTTATGCAAATATCATCCAATTAATTTGCTATTATCCATGAGGTTTAAATGGGAATGCAAAAATTGTCTTGCATTTTAAGCTATTACTACCCAAAGTTTGGCTCCTAAAAGCTCTGTCCGTTTGATTTTATCAGGGGAGGTGGGGGGTGGAGAGGGGTAACGCAGAGCAGAAAAAAAGCAGGGGAAAAAAACCCCAAACCAACCAACCAACAGACTCCACAGGGGAAGTAATGACAGACTACCGCTATGGGCCTGTAAGTTGAACAAAACAAGACTACAAGTAAGGTATCCAACCTCATATTTGACATGCATTTATTCTGGATGGCCCCACATGGATCAAAGCGTGAAACACAACCCCAGCTTTAGACGTGCACCGCAAGCTGCGTTCCTTGCTACATACGCGTACCAACCTTGATTCAAGTACGTAAGAGTTTCATCGTATAATTTTACTGCTGGAGATGTTGCAGCACACATAATGTACTGGAAGGGTGGATGTTTGGTCTCATTTTCTTGTGGAAGGTTGGAATCTTCCTGTTTGAAAATCGGCAGTGCCAAAACATCACTGAAAAGAACAAACAAATAACTTGGTAAGAGTGCTGGCTCTGTTTTGCCTGAAGTTTAAGAAAAAGAAAATTATTTGTGACTTCAAAAACACAGTGAAATACATACAGAGTTACATCACACCGTTATTAGTGAAACCAATGTGAGCAGTATCCAAAACATTTGCCACCAAATTTTTAAGCTCATAGACAGTGCTCTGGGACCTCAGCAGACAATACAGTTGTACTGATCCTCTGAAAAGGTATTCAGTTCTTCCCTCCACTGAAAAAAAAAAAATCACTTTATTCCTAAATTTTCACCTGTCAACATCAGCAATCTTGCCTAATCCACCTGACTAAGCAGCACCTTCACCAAATACAACTCGAAAGTATATGCCAAGACTCACTTCCCTTGTAGGTGGAAGCCCACCACATAAACTTCGGAACTGCAGAGTTTCTGGAGAGTAAAGAGCAATCCGTGCTGCCCACAGGGAGCGGTAAGAGAGACAGCTTCACTGCAACCAGCAAACACATCTGCTTTCTACAGAATTCTGCATTAGCAATAGATTCATTTCTCCTGTATACAGTAATCCTTCATCTGTTCAGGGTTGTTGTAGCAATGACCTTTTGTTCGTGATGAAATTCTCATCTGCAGATCCACGAAACTTTCTTTGAAAATTAGTTTTGAAGCTGCAGTAGGATTTCTCACACCACCACACCTGTTGATTCAGTTTTTAATTTAAATGCATCTTTCATTTCTCCTGCACTGACCACAATCACCGAACTAATTTTGTAAAAGAATTATGCCTTATCTGTATTGCACTATTATTTACACTTTGTACCCTAAAATTTTCCAAGTAAAATTATTTTTTGCTGTTCCTCATTCCTGTGAGAGCCTGCTGTGTTTTAGAGAAAATAAATTTCATTTTAGAGAACTCAAATTCCTCTTGAATTCCAGCTGTTATTTGGAGAATCAAACAGTACCAGCATCAGCATCAATTTAAAAAGTGAAATTACAGCCAGCAATTTTGTGTCACAGAAGGTTACAGTGTAGACTTGGTCTACGTAAGTACTAGGTATGAGGAGCGCAGCTGGGGCAGCTCAAATTTTCTTCCAGAGCACGTGCCACATACAGCAAGGTGAACGCCAGCCACATCTTATTCCACCCCTCTGGCTACCTGGAAGAAGATATATTAACCTGAAGAGGAAATACTTGCGAACGGTGAAAAAGTCTAAAAGGTTGGCCTATACCTCGTAGAGTCTTTGTAAAGTCTCTACCAAAAGTCATAACTAGAATTTTAAAAAGACACCCAATACAGGTTCCTTCCCAGTAGGAAGGAATCCCAGGAGGAGCTACAAACAAGCCTGAAAGCAGGACAAGGCAGGACACTGCCCGAGAAGGATGCAGTAGAAGCCTGCTGGACCACACCGTAGCTACTTCTGACGGCAGCTCCCCAGACCGCAGCCCAGAGGAGGGTGGCTCACAGAGGAAGATAATGTGAAACACCCTTCATACGCTTAAGGGAAGGGGACACTCGTAAAACAAGTTTCCTTCTATAGATAAAGGAGCATCACATGCAGAGGCAGGGCAGAAAAGCTGATAGACCCACGGACTGCTGGTTGAGGGTGACCCAGAAGAAACTCCTCGATGCCAGCGAGAAGGGCAACCCAGCGCCAGAGGGTGCACAGCGACAGGCGGAGAGCAGCGTCCTCCCAGGGCAGGGCTTCCGCACCAGGAAGCTCCTCACCCACTTTGGCACATAAATCGCTGGCTGGTGTTTTTGTGAAGAGCAGCTTCAGAACGGGAAGAACAGGGACGCAGCGACAGCGTTTGAAACACACACGGAAGGGCCGAAGCCCAACAAAGGCGGCACGCAGAGCATCTCGCCCAATAAATAACCTGTAATTCTCAAGCCAGTTCTACAGCACCTGCTTGTACCTAACACACAAGCTTAAAGAGAAGGCTTTGGTGTATCTGTGAAAAGTATCTTCCAATTCTTCGTTTTCCACCCCCTGTTTAAAGAAAAAAGAAATTCATCTGGTCTGGCTTAAGAACGCATGCCGTGGCTAACGAACTAGCTCAATTAATAGGCAAGGCACTGGAAGCCAACAAATAGAAATGGAAGACAAATTTAGCTAGTTTTAAACCTGCTTTGGCTAATACTTACAAAGTGGTAATGACTAAGTGCCACTATGGAAGAAAAGGACACCCAACTCCCCAGCCCCACAATTCAGTTGTAAAGAGAGCAGAACCCACATCCTTACACGCCAAAAAAGCGCCCCAGCAAACGGCATGAGGCAAATGTAAGAATCCTCATTTATTTTCCCAGATAAAAACGTACATTTCTCTTATAAAAGAAAGTCTTTTCTAGTACTAGTACATTCCAAAGAAAAAGAGAAGCCAATGCAATTTAAAACTTCTTCCTAGACCACCTTTAAATAAATATCATTTAAATAGCATTTTGATTTCTTCGCCCAAAGAATAAAACATCAGTGTTTTCACACTTAAGTGACGCTTGTTCCCATCCAAAACCAGACAAAAGCTGCAGGCGATTAACAAGAGTCAATAAGGTATGAATAAAGGATTTCAAAGTGACAGTGAAGAAATGTTAACTGATTTAGAATCAACTTTTTTTTGTTTTAAGAGGAATCAGATCGATGCATCTTTTCTGACCTTCACCAAGGAAGTGCTGTGAAGCGACTGGTCTACCCCTTCTTCTGTCCCTCTTGTACAGCAACAGGGTGACCAGTTTTATTTGAGACCCACGAGCCTGGGACTCAGGCACATGAAGCGTCTTCCAGGCAGTACCGGCATCCAGAATTCCTGCCACGCGAACTGCTCCCTCCCCACCCTTCCCCTCTAGAACCTATTTTTCTGGGCTACGTGGGGAACTCTGTCAGTTCATAGCACAGCCCAGCACGCAGCCATGCAACCGAGGGTGGCAAAAGCAGGTGATCAAAGTCTTGCCAATCCTAATGCAGAGAAACCCCCATCCTACCCAGCATTACCGGCGGGGAGGCATAGTGAGCTCTGCCCGTTTCCCTCCCCACCACCAGCAGTGACAGGCGTGCAGAAATCGGAGAGTAAATTGCTGCTGCCTACGTCTGCCTAGGAAATCGTTAGGAACATGCAGCTTGGAGAAACAGGGGAACACACAGAGCATTCCGCCCAGTTCACTGAGGCCAAACTCCCCCCTCATTCATCCTTACGCCAGTTCAAATAGGGACCATCTATGTCTCAGTGATGAGCACTTTCCATAAAATGAAATTCACACAGCACAGCTGCAGAAAAGATGCCAGGCACGCTGTCGTGGTTTAACTCCGGC